TAACGAGATAAGTCTAAAATGAGGCACCAAATGGGGAGTTGGGTGTCGATAAGACGGGATAACCTATATTTCTTATAGGTACCTCGACTAACCGTAATGCTAAGTTTTGTTTTAGGTACATTGTAACCCTAAGAAAAAGGAGAAATCTATAACAAATCTTGAATAATGAAATACGAAGAAAAAGGGAAAATAATACTTCTCACGGACTCAATTCGGGTAGGGTCATCTTGCTAAAAATCATTGCCCAAGCATGAAACCCAAAGTCAATGACCAATTTCTACTTTCGGATAAGGTCGATTAATTCAACTTATCACTTCAAGCAAGGTTGCCTAGTTATCACTTGTATATTTACTTTTCCAAAGCGAGATCACCTTAATCAACTTGGTCATACACTGCATATTTATTTGGCTCGCCTTAATCAACTTAGCCATGTACTTGCACATTTACTTTCCCAATGGAGGTCTGTCTTAATCAACTTCATCACGTATTATATATTTACTTTTCTAAGGTAGGCCGCTTTAATCAACTTGATCACGTACTACATGTTTTCTTTTCCAAGGCGAGCCACCTTAATCAACTTGGCCACATACCGAATGTTTACTTTTTCAAGGTACGTCGCTTTAATCAACTTGACCACGTACGATATCTTTATTTTTTAAGACGGACCGCATTAATCAACTTGATCACCTATTGCATATTTGCTTTTACAAGACGGGATGCTTTAATTAGCTTGATCATGTATTGTATGTTTATTTTTTCAAGACAAGCCACGTTAATCAACTTGGCCATAAACTACATATTTAATTTTTAGAAGGTCTGCCTTCCAAGTTAGTCATTGCATATTTAATTTTCGGGATAGGTCACCCCTCCAAGTTGGCCATATACTCGCATATTTAATTTTCAAGGTAGAGCGCCCTCCAAGTTGGCCATGTACTACATATTTAATTTTTAGGACGAACCGCCCTTCAAGTTGGCCATGTATTGTATATTTAATTTTTAGGTAGGTAGCTTTCCAAGTTGGTTTTGTATTGCGTATTTAATTTTCGGGACAACCAGTTTTTCAATGTGGTCATGTACTTCATATTTAACTTTCAAGACGAGCCACCCTTTATAACAAGGCCAACTGATCATATTTTTGTTTTTCAAGGAAGGTTGCCTAGAACAATTAAACCAATCTAAATTTTTTTTTTTACAATCTTATTATACAAAGTCACTCGAAAAACATTTGTTACAATGGGCTTTGCATCATAAGCATTGTAAAGAAGGGATAACTGTCATAACTCAAAAATTTCTCATATTTTTTGTTATTTTATTTATTTCTTATTTTATTTTATTTTGTTTTATATTATTTTAAATTCACTACAAAAACTAAAAAAAATGAAAAAAATACATGTATATCTATACACACACACACATAAAATTCAAAATGCAAAAAAATAAAAAAATAAAAAAATAAGAAAAAAATAAAAAGGAAAAAAAATGAAAAAATGACTTACCCCTTTAAACCTTAGAAATCTTCTATAAAAATAACATTTTTCATTCATTTTAGAGGGCGACCACAGAGAGGGGAGCCAAAACAAGAGTTTTGACAATTCCCCTACCCACCAAAAAACCTAAAATGTAGTCTCGAAGGAAAACCAAAGTTGGGCGACCATCCCATCTTCCCTAAAAAGGATGGTCGCCATGGTTCTTAAAAGCATGCCATTTTCCTCCCTCCTCTTAGCCTTTATAAGCCACCATCCTTGAATATCCCTTGAAAAGCCCATTACAAACCAATCCATCATCATTCATGTCTCTAGCCTCTCTTTCTCTCAAACACAATCAAGATAACCGTTGAGCCTACAACCCACACATAGGCTTACACATCCCGCTAGCCATCTCTAATGCTTAACAAATCACCTCTAAACGAGTCTCTCAAAACTCCATAAGCTAACATCCGAATATATAAAAACTCATCCAAAAAATCACTTGCAATCATAGACCACAAACCCACATATATTCCACACCCCTTTCATCTAGCAACTAATGTCATTTTTGCATCTCTACTCGCTTCAATCATCATTCTATCACAATATCACATAGCCTTTTTATAGGTAAGTTTTTTCATGTTATAAAACCAATATCTCATGAGCATGGCGAGCATTTAACATCCATGTTTGATATAAAAGGAGACAAAGTGAATTCTCCATTCTACTTCCGGATCGGAGCTTGCGGACATGGTGATAGATGTTCCAGCCTCTACAAAAACTTCTCCTTATAGAAGAATCAAACCTAAACCCATAAACAACATCATAACCAACCCTTCATTATTGTTTGTTCACCCCCATAACCCAATCCCTTTTTTCACAACTCCCTTATTGCCATAAATCTATCAAACCCGAGTACTCTACCTCAATAAACCCATCCTTCTTCATCGATACCAAACCAGGTAGACCCTCTCGCCCATTACCCATGCTCCAATAAATAACACCATCAATTCTTTCATTGCTAAAAACGGTTATCTCTCATAGATAAACTCACAAACACATGGCATGTATACCTTCTAAAACCAATAATCCTCCACACCCATATACCCAATAAACCATCGTCGGCATCGGCCCTCTCTTTCATCAATACTCGTTGGCCAATGATCACACAAACTCTCTCCATCGATTAAAGCCACGTTAGGAACTCGGATTGAAGGCTGGTAGCATCGAACATGTCATGGGTGTTGATGAAGAGAAATGGTGCATTGCCTTGTCACTTTGGCTAAAAGAAGGGTCAAGGAAGGAGATGCTCATGGCTATAAAGGGAGTTTGGAAAATCGAACAAAAAGAGAGAAATGAGAAGTGTTGTACATCTTGGTGAAGTTTTCGAAGGAAAAGAAGAAGTAGAGAAGACATAGGTAGTTTTTCCGATTTTATTTCATTTGGGTTGGTATAAAACGTTACGAGTTCCATTTTCTTATAAAGGGAATAAGGGCTAGACTTGTCCAACCCGTGAGATAGGCCGGACAAGTCCGAGCATGTGAGTCCGACCCTTATGTCCAAATCAGCCTGACTCGACCCTCAATAAAAAAAAGGAAAAAGAGTAGAAAGGTTGTCTTGTCCAACATGCTAGCCCAATGACTCAAGCCTAATGGATTGAGGGCCCACCGACCAATAAAAAAACACAAGGCCCTAGTTTTATTTTGCATAGATTAATTCCGAATTTTATTTTACACATGCTATTATATTTTATGTTTAATTTAAATTTAATGTTTGATTTTTCTTTAATTTATTTAATTAATACAATTATGAATTTTTATTTTAGTAATTAGAATAAGTGATTAATGGGTGGACGAATTGTTAAGTCTTCTAATTTTTAGGGATCGATGATGATTCTCCATCGATAAAAAAAAATAAAAAAGTAAAGATGATAAAAAAAAGAATGCTAAATGTTAATTTAAATTTTACGATTTTGTTTCGAAATTAGTTTAATAGTTAATAGATTGGCAAATTGTCGAGTCTCCTAATTCTTAGAGATCGATGACGATTTTTCATTGAAATGTCAATAATTAGATTAATACTTAATATGTGGATGAATTGTTGAGTCTCTTAATTCTTAGAGACCGATGATGTTTCTCCAATCGACTCATAGGTCATCAACATATAATCTTAATTCTTAGGAACCGATAATGTTTCTCCAATTGACTCATAGGTCATCAACATATAATCTTAATTCTTAGGAACCGATAATGTTTCTCCAATTGACTTATAGGTCATCAACATATAATAATCGGGGTGATCTTTGATACACTTGGTTGTGTCAATACTTAAAATGGATCCGATGTTTGAGCCAATATTTCGTCCGACGAAGGTGACCGACGATTGTTTCAATACAATGCCACAAAAAAAAAAAAAACCTAATTTGACTTGGTAAAATTTGACATTTACATTGAAAATAACTTGACACAAATAAAATATCTTTAGAAGATGAATTTAACACTAAGCTAGATGTAGTACTTTTTTTTAGAAAATAACATTTTTGAATGATCAATATCTTCTTAAAGTATAACTAATTTTTAGATTTTTAGTTTTTTTAATACTAAATGATGACTTTAAATTTATCAATAACTTATATCTTCAAAATAACTTATAAATACGATATAAATTTAAAATTGTTTTGAGAATTTTATCCTGGTAGCTGTATATAAAATAAAAGTTTCACAAAGATAAAAAACGTGGCCCAATTTCAACTCTGTATGGTGTATTTACCATACCATATTGTGCCTATAATTTATCTTCGTGTGTGTTTATAATTTGTTCATCTTATTGGTTATTCTTGACGTTTCAGACTTTTCTTTTCTCCTTAGACTTCAACCTGCTTCTTTACGAATTGAGTAACAAGTCTACACCTTTAAAAAATTTAAAGGACAATGACCCCACGTGCCTAGCTGATCACTAAATGCTGCTTTAGTTTGATTTGAGGTACTGATATTCCATATGGAGAGAAGATTTGGTTTGCTAAAGGTAATTGCCTCTTTTGAAGAAAAGAAAAGAAACCTAGAATAAAAAAATAAAAAAAAAACCTTCTTCTTCCTGAAGAGCCATCTAGAATATCAGTTTTTTTTTCCTTATAAAAAAATAAAACTATAATTTCAAAGATTTACAGCAAAAGTACACCTACCGAAATGTGCAGCGAAAAACTACTGCTAAGCAAGTGGTCATCTACCTAGACGGCCATTAGACCAACTGACACCTGTAAAAGATCTTTACGTCCCTGCAGTAGCTTCTGGTTGGGAGTTGGGACCAATGACCATACTCCAAGTCACTCATAACTTCCCGTTTTTACCGAAATCATAATAACTTGATGTGATGTAAGAAAACACAGAAAATACGCGACTCGAAAGAGGATGATGGAAATCAAACAAATTAAGCTCATTTCTGTATTTAGCATGCTTGGATGCAGCTCACGCCATTCGTTGTACGGAACCGTCACTGGAGATTAGCTCCTATCCAACACTTTTTTATGGTTATTAATTAATCGTCTCTTCTGTGGCTTTTTCTGCTAAAAAAGACAGAAGACGGACTATTAGGGTGAAATCCAGGGGCCATTATACTTTCCTGGCTCCATCCCACCAGAAATTTATAAAAGAACCAAGAAACAGAAGGTTGTCTTTCTTGGCGTTCAAAGTATCCATTGCTTGGGCGTTGGGCCAATGAATTTGGATTAACAAGGAGTTGCTCCCTCCCAAGAAATGTTCTTCATTTTTAAATTATTTTTTAGATAGATTTATGGATAAGCTTAGAGAGGTGTTTGTTTGATGTTATTATGAATAAATTAAGGTGTAATAATTAAATATATAATAAGTTATAATTTGGAAGAAGGAATTTTGCATAAATCCTTAATAAAATAAACAAATATACCCTTTCGTTGTTGCTCGTTATTAAATACAGATGGTTTAATAATGGGAATAAAAAAGATGAAGAGTCTTTGGTCAATAAGGAGAGAGAGAAAAGGCCACCTGATTCCAGTGACTTCCACACTCCACTACGCAACTTACCGCCTAAGTTGTTGAAAAAAGAAGGAAAAAAAAAGATTGATTAAAATATTTCCAAAAAGAGAGACAATGTACTGTATCATAAACAATAATGCATTCCCTAAATTATTTAATATTTTTTTATAATTATAAAAATAGTTTAATTTAGCAACTAAATTATTACTTTCATTATTTTTTAAAAAATTATTAATATATTTATTATTGACATTTCCAATTACTATCAATAAATTTATTAACTAAATTGATGAATCATATATTGATAATTATTTATAAAAATAATAAAAATAACAATTTGATTATTGAATTAAACTGTATCTAAATTATAAATATCTTTTCTTTGTTATGCATATATTACTACTTTACAAAAACACACACCATATATATAATCAAGATTGATTAGCATTAAAAATTATATAACATAAGATGTTTTTGAAAAGTGATTTAACTTGAAAAAAATGACGTGATGGTTAAAATTTTTTAATTTTTAATTTTTTTAATCTATGAAAGTCAAATATATACGAATGGTGCGTTATTAAAATCGAGGAAAACACCATCATCATTCAATTAAAACAAAAAACTTCAACACTACCCAATAATAGGGTTAGCTAACCGTTATTTATTTGTTTATTTATTAACCCTAAGCAAACCAAAACAAAAGATCCTCTATTGGCTGACCTTCCCAAGTTCCCAATAAGTCCAAAACTCTTACAAGCTTTTGTGTACAACTATAAAGTCTCAAACGCCCGTCTCTGTTCCTTGATCGCTAGTACAAAAAAGCGAACACCACCGCCTGTCTCTGCCTTCCTGCACACACACATTGCAAGAACCATCCTCGCGCTCTTACCTTACTATCATTTCTTTCTAGGGTTTTTGTTTTCCTCCCAAAACCCATGTGATTATGAGACCATCGTCCGTTCACTCCACCACCACCACCACCACCAACAGTACCACCCGGCGTTTGCCACCTCCACCCCATCACCACTATCACCACCACCCCCACCGTCCCCCCTTCTACCGCAACCGCTTCAACAACAATTTTATCTCAACAAGAACCGTCCCTAGGTCTTCCCCTAACTTCATAATCCACCTTCACCTGGACCCTACTCTCACGCCTTCCAACAAAAGACCAGACACCAACTTCGTCAACTCTGTAATTTCCCAATGCCTCCCAACACCACTACCTGACCGTATCGTAGTTCCGACAACCGCTACCTCCACGACAAAACTAACTGCCTCCTTGCACTTTCGGGAATGGTCTAACACATTGAATTTTATGACAGCCTTATGGGAACTGCGGCTTCGGGGAGCCCACTGTTTCACTCCGAGGCTCCAATCAAACGTCCGCTTACATTCAGATACCGAGGAGTTAAAACAGAATTTAAAGAAGAAATTTATCGATTATCTTAATGGATTAATAGAGGGTGTAGTTAGTAATGTTGATGCTGATGAGAATGTGGTTTGGAGGTGGCAGATGAAATTGAGTGAAAAAAGTGATGAGATTGAGCAAGTGATGGAGTTACTTAAAGGGAGGAATGGAGTGAGGGGATTTAGTGAGTTGAATGAGCGGAAAAAAAGGTTGATGGCCGAAAGGGATTCGATTGAGAATAGATTCAGGGAATTCAAAGTGGCCATGAACTGCATGTTGAGGTATATTGAAGGTGGGGAAGGGGAAGGGAGCTTGAAGGTGTTTGTATTTGAAGGAGACGTTGATTGGGAAAGAATTCATAGATTAATTTTGAGAGAAATTAGGAGGTTGGACGATGGGTTGCCTATTTATGCTTATAGGCAGCGGATTTTGGAAACGATTCGCAGCAAGCAGGTATGGTTTTTAGTTGTTATTTCTTTTTTTAGTAAGTAAAAAGATGTTTTAATTGTTTTGCTAAATGATTATATGCTCTGGAGTAATATGAAAAGTGTGGGAAAGAATGGTTTTTAGTTTTTGTGCTGTGAACAAATATGGAGGGAAATGGGGGATTTGATTGTTGATGTGCGATCTGTGTGATTCAAGTTGTGAGGTTGTTGTCTTCTAATAAGTATGTGTGTTGGCTGTTCATTTATAGCGTTCAAGATTAAATTTTGTTTGCCTGTATTTGTGTTTATAACTTGCAAGTTTGGCACTTTCCTGCATGATGAATGTTATTCATGTTCTAATGATCATTATTAGTTTCTTTTTCGTGATTGGCACATTTTAGTAGGCTGTAAGAAATGTTTCTTTAAGTTTTGTTTATTTATTTATTTGGTGGTCGTTGTTATAATTAATTTGGCATTCATTATTTAAGCTTGCCATTTGGTTTTTCTTGGCTACTGTTTGTGCTTTGCAGGTAATGGTATTGATTGGGGAGACTGGTTCTGGAAAGAGTACACAGTTGGTTCAATTCCTTAGTGATTCAGGAATAGCTGGCAATGAGTCCATTGTCTGTACTCAGCCGCGCAAGATTGCAGCCATCTCACTTGCTGATAGAGTCAGAGAAGAAAGTAGGGGGTGCTGTGAAAATAGTCCAGTCATCTCTTATCCAACGTTTTCATCCACTCAGCAGTTTGGTTCAAAAGTCATATTTATGACTGACCACTGTTTATTGCAGCACTACATGAATGATGCCGATTTATCTGGAATTTCATGCATCATTGTTGATGAGGCTCATGAAAGAAGCCTGAACACGGATCTTCTTTTGGCAATGATTAGGGGCTTACTTGGTCGGAGGCCTGATTTAAGGCTAGTAATAATGTCAGCAACAGCTGATGCAAAACAGCTCTCAGATTACTTTTGTGGTGAAATCTTTCATGTGGAGGGGAGAAACTTCCCAGTAGAAGTCAGATATATGCCTTTGGCCTCTGAGGGAACTGCTTTTCGTAATGTTTCTCCATACGTACTTGATGTTTTGAGGATAACAACGGAGATTCACAAAAAGGAGAGTGAAGGCACCATTCTTGCCTTTTTGACTTCTCAGATGGAAGTAGAATGGGCTTGTGAGAAATTTGAAACTCCTACTGCTGTTGCATTAGCCTTGCATGGAAAGCTTCCTTTTGAAGAGCAGTCTCGCATTTTCCACGATTTTCCTGGGAAAAGAAAAGTTATATTTGCCACTAATCTCGCAGAGACCTCACTTACAATTCCTGGGGTCAAGTATGTAGTTGACTCTGGCTTGGTCAAAGAGAGTAAATTTGAAGCAACCACAGGCATGAATGTGCTCAGAGTTTGCAGGATCAGCCAGAGCTCTGCTCAACAAAGAGCTGGTCGTGCTGGGAGAATGGCACCTGGAGTATGTTATAGACTCTATGCAGAATCTGATTTTGAGTCTATGTCTCCCAATCAAGAACCTGAGATTTGCAGAGTTCATCTTGGTGTTGCTGTTCTGAGGATGCTTGCTTTGGGAATTAAGAATGTATTGGAGTTTGATTTTATTGATGCACCTAGTGCCAAATCAATTGATATGGCCATTAGGAATCTTGTTCAATTAGGTGCCATTACCCTGAAAGGTGGTGTCTGTGAATTAACTGAAGAAGGTTGCTACATGGTTAAATTGGGCATTGAGCCTCGGCTTGGTAAGCTCATTAGCAGCTGCTTTCATTATCGTTTGGGTAAGGAGGGCCTTGTTCTTGCTGCTGTAATGGCAAATGCCAGCAGCATATTTTGCAGAGTTGGTAGTGAGGATGACAAGCAAAAGGCTGATTGTCTTAAGGTGCAGTTTTGCCATAGCAGTGGTGACCTCTTTACTCTGCTCTCTGTGTACAAAGAGTGGGAGGCTTTGCCTAAAGACAGGAGAAATAAATGGTGTTGGGAAAACAGCATCAATGCCAAATCCATGCGGAGATGCCAAGACACAGTCAAGGAATTGGAATATTGTCTTGAAAGGGAACTCACTGTTGTTATTCCGACATATTGGAAGTGGAATCCTAATGAATCCACCGAGCATGATATATCTCTGAAAAAGATAATACTGTCAGCCCTTGCAGAAAATGTAGCCATGTACTCTGGATATAATCGGCTTGGTTATGAAGTGGCATTGACCAGGCAGAACGTTAAGCTGCATCCTTCATGTTCGCTTCTAGCATTTGGTGAAAAACCAAATTGGGTTGTCTTTGGTGAACTCCTCTCAATATCTAATGATTATTTGGTTTGTGTAACTGCATTTGACTTTGAATCATTGTCTATGCTTGACCCTCCTCCCTTGTTTGATGCCCATAAATTTGAAAGCCAGAAGTTGCAAGTGAAGGTGCTGACCGGTTTTGGCAGTTCCCTGCTCAAAGGGTTTTGTGGTAAATCTAACTGCAATCTGCTTTCTCTGGTATCTCGCATTCAGACTGCCTGTATGGATGAAAGGATTGGTATTGAAGTAGATGCTGATCAGAATGAGATTCTATTATTTGCAACAGCAGAGAACATGCCAAAGGTGTTCAGCCTTGTATGTGAAGCTGTGGAGTGCGAACGAAAATGGTTGCATAATGAATGCATGGAGAAATTTTTGTATCATGGAGCTGGTTTGTCACCTATGGCACTGTTTGGAGCAGGTGCTGAGATAAAGCATTTGGAACTAGAAAAGAGATGTTTGACTGTGGATGTCTTTTTTTCAAATGCAAATACAATTGATGATAAGGAGCTTTTGATGTTTCTTGAGGAATATACATCTGGTACTGTTTGTTCTGTTCGCAAGTTTGTTGGAAGTGGACAAGAGGGTGATGAGAAGGAAAAGTGGGGCCAAATAACATTTGTTTCTCCCGATGCTGCTAGAAAAGCTGCCCAGCTGAATGAAGTTGAATTCAAAGGCTCCAAGCTGAACGTAGTTCTGGCACAAACAATCATTGGAGGTGATCATAAAATGTTTTCATTCCCTGCTGTTAAAGCAAAAATGTTTTGGCCTCGTAGAGTCAGTAAGGGGTTGGCAATTGTTAAATGTTATGTTAATGATGTTAATTTCATGATTTATGATTTCTCTAACCTGATCATTGGAGGAAGTTATGTTCGGTGTGAAGCTAGTAAGAAATGTGAGGACTCAGTTATTGTAAGTGGATTTGGTAAAGAACTTTCGGAAGCTGATATTTTAGGTGCATTGAGGACTGCCACAAAAAGGAGAATCCTAGATTTCTTCATAGTGAGGGGAGATGCTGTTGAAAATCCTCCATTGGGTGCTTGTGAAGAAGCTCTTGTAAGAGAAATCTCTCCATTTATGCCTAGAAGGAATCCTCTAACTAGTTGCTGCAGAGTCCAAGTCTTTCCACCTGAATCAAGGGATGCTTTTATGAAGGCTTCCATTACCTTTGATGGAAGATTGCATTTGGAGGCAGCAAGAGCTTTAGAGCATATGGAAGGGAAGGTATTGCCTGGATGCCTTCCATGGCAGAAAATGAAGTGCGAGCAGATGTTTCATAGCTCATTATCCTGCTCTGCCAGTGTCTATGTTGCCATCAAGAAGCCGCTGGATTCTTTACTTGGAAGCTTCAGTCCCGTAAAGGGTACGTATCAATAGTTTAACGGTTCTCCTTTTACATTTTTGTGATAGTGTTATTTATTTGTTAGTTCCCCTTTTGCAGGTGCAATAATGAAATCTTTCCAGTTTATTTATAAAAATTATCGTTCTACCTTTTTTTTTTAATTTGAAAGGTGCTTTTTTAGGCGCAGGATGGAATTTTTACAGTTTTTCTCTTCTTTTTATGACGTGGTTGCATGCTCTATTTTATGATTACTGCTATGTGATCTTGTTTTTTCTCTTCCTGTTTGCTGTTCTTATTGAGATGGTAAACAGAAAAATGTTATTGACAAGCCTTAACATTTATGAATATGTGTGAGCTACTATTTTGTCTACTCTCCACTCCCAGACAGTGGGCTGTCTTTTTGTCGACTCCCAGATGATTAGTAACTGACTGTTGTAGTGATCAATTATGATCAAGAGTCAGTTTTTCAATGCCATAAATTGATGTCTTGAAGCATTCTTGAGTATGTTGTCTACACATTTCTGTTGTATCATTTCTTGCAAATGGGTTAGCTTAGTAATGATGACTAGTGTATGACAATCATAACTCAATATGTGAATCTTTAATCCATTTCTTTGTGAAATTAAGTCTAATGTTGTGTGTACCATTTGTGCACACGAGCTTTATTTTCCCCATCTCCAGTTAGGATTTTTGGTTAGCTTCTTATTGCTGTCATGACACTCTAGATTGGAATGTGATATAATCTTTAAAAACTGGTTGGATCCCCATGTTATTGTTGTTGCTGGTGATTGGCAGACCCTCAGTTTATGATTTCTTTGACCATCTTCCAATCTGTTGGTGGATACAATAAAAAACTAGTCTCCACTTGATTTGACAATTTTTTTTTTTTTTTTGAAGTTTGTGTAAATCTTGAGCTTAGCAAGTAGTTCTGAATGTTTGCTTCATATGCAGCAGCTTGTGTGGTTGCACAACTATTTTATAGGTTTTGGTTGTCGATTGATGGCATAATGTGTGGATTTGACTGATCTCTGTTTGAAAATCATTTACGTAGAGCCATGTGTTGTATCATTCACAGGTGCAGAATGCAGTCTAATCAAGAATGAAAATGGTTCCTGGCGAGTGAGAATATCTGCTAATGCTACAAAAACTGTTGCGGAGTTAAGAAGACCTCTGGAAGAGCTAATGAGAGGACGGACCATAAACCATGCCAGCCTCACTCCAGCTATTCTACAGCATCTGTTCTCTAGCCATGGTATCAATCTGATGAAGTCGCTACAGCGTGAGACTGGTACCTACATTCTCTTTGACAGGCGCACCTTCAATGTCAAGATTTTTGGTTCTTCTTACAAGGTTGCTCTAGCCCAGCAGAAACTGACTCAAGCTCTTCTGGCCTACCATGAAAGCAAGCAACTCGAGATCCACCTCAGGGGTGGAGCTTTGCCCCCGGACTTGATGAAGGAAGTAGTTAAGAGGTTTGGGCCAGATCTTCATGGGCTCAAAGAGATGGTACCTGGGGCAGAGCTTACTCTCAGCACCCGTCACCATGTCATCTCTGTTCATGGTAACAAAGAACTAAAGCAAAAGGTGGACGAAATAATTTTTGAGATGGCAAAAATAAGTTATGATTCTACTGAGAGGCTTGATGGTGAAGATGTCTGCCCTATTTGTTTGTGTGAAGTTGAGGATGCTTACTGGCTTGGAGGCTGCACGCATTTCTTTTGTCGGATGTGCTTGGTGGAGCAACTTGAATCAGCATTGAAAAACTTGGACAGTTTCCCAATATGCTGTGCCCGAGCGGGCTGTGGGGCTCCCATATCGCTGACAGACTTAAGGTCTCTCTTATCAAGTGACAAATTAGAGGAACTCTTCAGGGCGTCTCTGGGGTCATTTGTAGCATCTAGTGGGGGAAGCTTGCGGTTTTGCCCTTCTCCCGACTGCCCTTCAGTTTATCGAGTTGCTGACTCTCGTACATTTGGTGACCCATTTGTCTGCGGGGCATGTTTTGCGGAGACTTGTACTCGGTGCCACTTGGAGTACCATCCATATCTCTCGTGTCAGAAATACATGGAGTTCAAGGAAGATCCTGATTTGTCACTAAAGGACTGGTGCAAAGGAAAAGAGAACGTGAAAAGCTGCCCTGTCTGTGGATATACGATTGAGAAAGGGGAAGGTTGCAACCATGTCGAGTGTAAGTGTGGCCGGCACGTTTGCTGGGTCTGTTTAGAGGTTTTTAGTAATAGTGAGGACTGCTATGTCCATCTGAGGTCTACACACGGGGGCATTACTTGATTTTTAACTACTTTCGTCTCTAGTCTTATATTGTCCCTATAAATATATGTATATGTATATGTATAGGAAATCGGAATGTAACTAGTTAGGTTATACAGGATACTTCAATTTTCTGCATGAGCTGCTGTGCATGCTTTTGGTTATTTCCAGTTTAGCCTACAAATTTTCTTAGTCCCAATGTATCCTCTCTCAGTTGGTAGTCTACTACTGCAAATTTTCTTATTAGTACGGTGGTCCAATCTATAACAGAAGTTATATTCCCCAGAATCAGGAGTGAAAAGAGAGAGAGAGTGTGCACAGAAATTAAGGCTGTCACTTGGAATTATTAAAGGCTCATAATTATGTTTGATAGTTTATATTGGGGTTCAACTATTTTTATGTGGTACATGTAAAATGTGATCGTTGAAACTGTATCTGTGCTTCCACGATCATCTAATTTACAAAATGTTTCTTGTTGCAAGTGTTTCACCATGGTATAAGAAGGTAAGAAGGAAGATCTTATAACAAATAACAGGAACGAAATGCAAGTCCTAAGCCAACAATACCCAGACAAATTGTCAAAGCTACATCAATCCAAGATCCCCTCCTCCCATTATCTGAACCCTGTTCTTCCAACTGGTCTTTCACCTCTTTTGATGTACAGCAACCGCAAGACAATTTCTTTTCTTGTTGTTGCGACTGTGCTTGTGCCTTCAAGACTTGAAACTCAAGCAACCTCACCCATTGCCGATAAGCAAATAACTGCAAGGACTCATGAAACAAAGCATTGGCGACAGAATCCCTCTCCTTAATCAAACTTGCAGCCTTCCTCTCTGCTTCCCTTGCTCTAGTTTGCGACAACCTTAATGCCTTCAAAAGCTCCAATTTCTCATAATTCTCACGACTACGGCCTCTATACACATGAAAATCACAATGATCATGTTCTCTTTCCATCATGCTAAAAGCCTTATTCATCGATGACATGACAGTCTTATCCGACCCAGAAAAGACCTTCAATGGAGGAGGTAGATCACAATTCTGCATCAACTCAATACCAGAACTAGGAGAAAGCAAGGGACCCAACAACGTATCATTCTCTTTCAAAGCTCTAGAATTCATCTTCTGGTTGTTGGATGCCGGCCATCCTGCCATTTTTAGACTACTTCGCTTAAAAGGTTTATGATGAGAAATTTTGAAGGAAATAGCAAATATTAGACGTGAAAGAAAGAAACAACTAAGGGGTTGGTGAGGGAAAGAAGTCGGGATTAATCAAGAATGAGACGCAAGAAATGAGGTATCTAAACCATCTAAACCATTAAAATAAAAATGTCGATGTTACGTGAGAAAAAAAAAGAAAGTAATAACAATTATATTGATTATGTTTTTTTTTTGTTTTTTTTTTCTAAATAGTGGTAAAAATAATTTATTCCATAGCTTTTTAAAAAGCTCTCGTCAAATTCTATACGACATCTGTACAGTTTTTATCATCATTTTTATTTTAAGAGCAAAGTTTGAAAACATTCTAATGTGATATGAGAATTAGTTACTAAGACCGATGATTTGGACCGAGACTCGAATCCAAACATGGATCAAGACAAATAAAAATCTTAATCATTGCGGTAAATGGTTGTTGGCTAACTATGAACTTCGTTAATAACTATCGTAAATATACAATAATTACTTAGAAAGTATATATATATATATATATATATATATATATATATATAAAGGTAAAATGGGGACAGGCTTTGCTTCCTTTTAAGATAGAGATTCTTTTCTTGCTAGCTTGGATAAACAGGAACGTTACAACTTACAATCAATCAAATTAATTAGTGTGGATTCCTAAGCAAGGTAACTCTAAGTCTCCAACTTTTGTTTGCTAACAAAGAAAAGTAGGAAGAAATAGATGACTTTGAAATTTTTTATCGATTAGAAAATTCCAAGAGCTCAAACATTTAATTGTCCACCATTCATAAAAATAAAAATGGTTGGGCTAGGCTTGATTTCAAAAGAAGGGAACGTAATACCTAAAATTCTCACCAACAGTTATATTTTGCTCGAGTTCTGACTCCTTTGATTGGTTGGATTCAGTCTCCGAATTGGGCAAGGAGTCTACAGTTTTTTGTTCATTGGGATCCTATTGATTACTAGGCTGCATAAGATGGGGATTTCCCTCCTTATCCTAAAATATTATCCCATCCTTTTTATGATTTGAATATCAGACTTCGAATAAAAATCTAAATCTTGAATATCTAGATATTACTTATTTTCTTTTTATCTACAAGTATCACATGAAAGACGTAATTATAATTATACAAAACAATAAAACATAAATTTAATATTCTCATAAATCTTAAAATCTTAATTTTTTTTACATAGTTTAAAAATAAAATAGCTTGATTCATTCAGCTACTTGAAAGTACAAAATAAATGAAGAATGGTTTCTCTCTCGACCTCTTTTTTAATTATAAAAAAATATGTGCACATTTTTTTTATTATCATTGTCATTAAGAGATAGAGGGAGGAACAAATTCCTCTTTTTATAGCATTAACGGAAGTCTTCCATCAAAATTTGATAATATATCATGATTAATTGTATGTATCATAATTAATTACATATACTTTAAATATTATGTATCACAATTAATATTATATGTCATAATTAATTAGATAGATATTAAATATCATGTATTATAATTAATATATTATGTGTCATGTGAGTAAAAATAAATTTCACGTTCTACATGCATGTAGTAATCATGTGGATCATAATTAATTTTATATTCTCTCACTTGACTTATATGATATTACTTTCATGATTTAATAAAAAGAACATAAAATGTAAAACTAACGATCATCAACTATAACTTTATATCATGATTAAATTAAAATATTAATGTGAGTCATGACAATTATATGTCATTTTCTTGACACAATTTCCTTTATACACCACAACACCGACTTTTAACTTAACATGATATTTAATAAAAATAATAATGGTCCAACTTTAATGCCTATAGTATAAGACTATTCATGTCAACATCATTTTAAAAAAATTATGTATACTAAATAGAAAAAATGAAATATCGGAAATATATAACTAAGTTTTGAGTGTAAAAACGTAATACAATATCATGATCGACATCCAATGATGCTCATTCTTTCAACGAGGTTTATTTAAATGTTTTGAGCATCAATTCTATTGTCAAAGGATTTGCAATCATAAGATTGGTGCCAATAAATTTACTTGACACTCTTTGTTGTTGAACTTTTTTTTTTTAATGACATAGTGCTTAATTTTTATATGTTTAGTACCCTTAGAAAATTTGTCACTTTTAGAGACGAAAATTGTTTTAGAGTTATCGTAATAAATTTTTAGCGATGTGGCAATGCTATCAACAAATCCAAGTCCTAAAATAAAATTCCACAAATAATAATTCATGAATGGTGGCTTCAAAGCATTTCACAAACTCAACTTTCATATTGGATGCAACAATGATAGATTGCTCGCACTATTTCATAAAATTGTTCCTCCAACTAACAAGAACAAGTAGCTAAATGTGGATTTTCGTGAATCAACACATTCGACAAAATAAGAATCTGAATATTCTATAAGTGGTTAGATGATTTTTTATTCCTTACAAGTATTTATTTTTTTATTTTTGCAATTTTTAAATAAGACATTAAACTCCCAACATTAGATATATAAGAAATACTTTTCATTTAATCATGTTCCAATTTATTTTTTAGAGATTGCCTAAGGTTAAGTTTGTCTTTTTCTGAATTGAAACTATCCTAGTTGAATGTTTATCCATCTTGAAATTTTTTAGAATTTTATTGATGTAAACTTTCTAAGACAATCTCGACAATTCTTATGATTTATCACGAAATATTTCTATTCCTATCACATAGGTCGCCTCACCATATCTTTTATCTCATAATTCTTAAAGAGGTATTTTTGTTTTATGTGACAAACCAAGTCATTAACAGCAAGCAAAATATCATCAACTTACAAAAATAGAAAAATAAACTTGCTCTCACTAATCTTCATATATATAAACCAATCGATTGTGTTTTCTTAAAATCTAAAAGAAATAATAATATCATTAATCTTGAGAAACGCCATTGTCAAAAGGCTTGTTTAAGTTTGTATATTGATTTTTTTAATTTACACACCATGTGTTCCTTCTTATTAATTGAAAAGCTCTCATGTTGATTCATATAAACTTGTTCTTTCAAATTTTCATTAAAAAAAGGCGAGTTTTAACATTCATTTGGTATAACTACGAGTTGTAATGAGTCACCAAAGTCATGATGATTCTAAGAGAATCTTTCTAGAAGAATGGTGAACGAGTCTCTTTATAATCAATGTCATCTTTCTAAGTAAGACTTTTGACAATAAGTTTAACTTTATATCGTTTAAAATTGTTATTTAAGTCATGTTTGGTCTTAAAAATCCATTTACACCCAACTTTTTTTCATCCTTCTAGCAATTTAATGAGATCCCAAACTTTATTTTGATCCATAAATTTTAACTCTTCCTCCATTACTCTAATCCACTTAGTTGAATAATCACATTGTATGGTTTAACAATAAAAGCTGGATCATTGTCAATTTCAAAATTAATTTTTAATTCTTATAGATAAACCATATAGTTGTCGAAAATAACATTTTTTTTTACTTTGAGATTTTTTAATGTTATTTCTTGTGGTTCAACTATTGCAGATCCATTATTGATATTTTCATTGTGAAGTGTTTGGTCATTGATTTATTGTTCTTGACCATTGTTGAATTGAACTATAATTTCAGAAATAAACAATTGAAGAAGTTTTAGGAATAGGAACTTCCATCCTAACTTTTTAAATGCTAACATCATGCATTCTCACACTCCTAGCATTGTAACCAATTTTTGTGAACATAACATTTTTAGATTCAATAATTGTGTACCATGATTAGATCAATAATACCACTTTAGACTTTTTCGGATATCCAATGAAGTAATCACTAGTTGTTCTAATTTTTTTTTTTCATATGGATTGTACATCCTCACTTTTGCTAGGTACCTCAAATTAGGTTTTCTTCATGTCTATAGCTCAAAATGAGGCTTTGGAACTATCGTACTAGAAATTCTATTTAGGTAAATTGCTAAAAACACCATATATATTTAGGTAGCAAGAACATTCCGTATCCTTATTTTCTAGATATTATACTTTACACCCTAAGGTTTTAGCAAGTGTATTATAAAACATTATGTATTATAATTTTGTTTACAATTTCAAAATTAAAGACAAAAATAGTCCAATTTTTTTACAAATTTGCCATTATATTTTTTAAATGGCCACAATGCCCTTTGGAAGCATTTCGGTCTCAACATCAAAAACTCAATTCAAAACACTCAAATCCAATTCCAAACATCCAAATTCATATCAAAACACTAAGACGCTGTTTAGTAATCGGGAATAGAGTGGTGAGAATGAGAATGAAAGTTTTATTTTCATGTTGTACTCGTTTGGTTAAAATGATAAAAATAGTCCAATTTTTTTACAAATTTACCATTATATTTTTAAATGGCAACAATGCCCTTTGGAAGCATTTCAATCTCGACATAAAAAACCTAATTCAAAACACAAATCCAATCCCAAACATCTAAATTCATATCAAAACACTAAGGTACTATTTAGTAATCGGGAATAGAGTGGCGAGAATGAGAATGAAAATCTTATTTTCATGTTGTAGCTATTTGTTTAGAAGGATAAAAATAGTCTATTTTTTTTACAAATTTGCCATTATATTTTTTAAATGGCCACAATGCCATTCGGAAGCATTTCGGTCTTAACATCAAAAACCCAATTCAAAACACTCAAATTCAATCTCAAACATCCAAATCATATCAAATCACTAAAAGGCTATTTAGTAATCGGGAATAGAGTGGTTGGAATGAGAATGAAAGTTTTATTCTCATGTTGTAGTTGTTTGGTTAAAAGGAATGAAGTGAGAATGAGAATGAAGAGTGTAAATGAGAATGAAAATTTATACACAACTTCATTCTCATATAAGATGTTGGAATAAAAACAAAGAATGAAAATGATTTTTTTAAAAAATAATAATATATTTTATTTATTATCTATTAACTACTTTTACCACCATCACCA